ATTGTATGCCTGTGACTAAAAATGTCACATTAGTAGATAGAATAGGGTGATCCAAAAGAGTAAAGATTTTATGGATTTTAAACATTAATAATTATAATAATGATAATAAAATATTAATCCATATTAATACTATATCCATAGTATCCACAGTACAATAGCATTTATAATAAAGTTTCATAATTTTGTTTTCATTTTATCTTCACAATAGCCCCTATCGTTTTCTTACCTCTTTGCTTTTTGTGTCAGTGCAATTCTGATTTCACAGATTAAGTTGATGCATATTATCCAGAAAGTCCTAAAGGGAATGATTAAGTATATACTTAAAATGGGGAAGCGATATCTATGAAAGTACACTCAGGAAAGAGGAAATGCTGAGATGGGAACACACCTGGCAGGTCTGCAGAACATCAGGAAGGCCAGACCATAGCATTGAGACAAAGAACAAGAGATGAGGACAGAGATCATTCAGTTTCAGGTCTCTGGTTTACTCTGAGCACTACAGAGTGTTTGGCAGAGGAGTGAAGCACTCAGACTTCTATTTTTAAATGTGTTCTCTTTCTACTATGGTAATAATAGACTATGGAGGGTCAAGAGTAGAAGCAGGCATATCAGTTAAGAGTGTAGTAATGCCAACAACAAATGATGACAGTTGGACCAGGTTGGTAGCAGCAGAGATGGTGGGAAGTATGAAGATTCTGATTACAAACTTCAGGTAGAACCAATAGGACTTTCTTAAGTTTGTCTTTGGGAGCCAGCCCTGTGGTGTAGTGGGTAAAGCTGCCACCTGTAGTGCTGGCATCCCATATGGGCACTGGTTCATGTCTCAGCTGCTCCACTTCTGATCCAGCTTTCTGCTATGGCCTGGGAAAGCAGGAGAAGATGGCCCAAGTCCTTGGGCCCCTGCACCCACATGGGAGACCTGGAAGAAGCTCCTGGCTCCTGGCTTCAGATCGGCACAGCTCCAGCTGTTGTGACCAGTTGGGAAGTGACCAGTGAATGGAAGACCTCTCTCTCTCTCCCTCTCTCTGCCCGTCTCCCTCTCCCTCTCCCTCTCCCCCCCTCCTCTCTCTGTAACTCTGACTTTCAAATAAATAAATCTTTTTTAAAAATAAAAAACAGAGTTTGTCTTTGAAATATGAGAGGAAGAAAGAAGTTAATAATGATCTAGAGTTCATTGCATTATATTCTCTCATATTTATCTTTTATATTTGACATACAGGTTTGAGGTTTAGCTCTCCTGTTGCTGTGTCCACAGAATGAATACTGAGTATGTATACGATATTTTTTCTCTTATTCCTTTCCCAACATGGGTCTTATGAATATTTCTTGAGTATAAGAACTAAGTCACATGAGACTTGCTTTTTAAATTGGCTAATGCTGAACTAAGTTTTGTATAGATGTTTATCAGAGCAGCTTCTCTCTTTCCCAGGGTGGGAGCTATAAAACCTACACTTAAATTAATACTCAAAGGGCCCTCCCTTCACTATCATTCTCAAAATAGAGATCCATCCTGACTTATCACTCACAACCATGTTTGACAAATAACAGCTCAGGAGCCAGATTGCTAGTTTGTAGGAGTAATAGGTGAGGGAACCAGTCCTACAACAGAAAGATTCTGAACTTGGCTGGTATGTACCTGACTCAACTTGCCTCTGGCTTCATACAAAGAATTCAGTTGGTTTGGGCTTTGCTTTGGCAGAACTCCAGCCACTGGCACCATGACCAATTTGTATGAGATAGCAGGTAAAATTGATAGGTTAATTTTTGTTTAGGTAGAGGAAGGTTTTTACCTTGCAGAATATACTCTATTCACACAAAGTTCTCAGTCAGTAAATGTCTCCAGGTCCCTTTGACCAATCTGACCCCTCAGCACTATCTATCAGAATCCTCTGGAACAGGAGGAAAGGAGGCCAAAAGTAGAGAAGCCCACAAATCTATAATTCTTTAAGGGTCTACTGGGAACCTGGCTTCTCATGAAAGAGAAGGGACAGAAAATGTTTGTCTATCTCTAAAACCCAAAAGAACCCATGGTTTCAAGATTTGAGAGGAGTAGGCCTTCTCAGTGAGGAAGAAGCAACAAAGAACAAACCAAGAAAGGGTTTCCACGGGCTAGAGTGCGAGCAGAGAAATTAAGACCAAAGATTAGAGAAGCAGGAGAAATATGCCATATACCTGCTGCCACTAGTGGGTCAGTCACAGACTGAACAAAAGAGAAAGATGCAGATAATCTGTCTTTCTGACAGGTAAATCCAGTGTCAATACTTTGACTTGCTACCCCAAAACTAAAGGGGTCTGATCTAAGAATTCTGTCTCCTTTATGGACTGAATTTGTATAATTATCATCACCATCAAGATTAGTGGAATCATATTCATCCTTCATCAAAGTGGGTCTGTTAGCCAAATGAGCCAAAACCAAGCAAGAGCCACTTCATACTGTCATCACAGGTTATTGTTATGGCTGCAAGGACCATCTGAGTTTCTGAGACCTGGCCTTGATATGTGGCCCAAAGTAGAGTTCAGGATGCATCTTGAGGACCTACATGATATAACTTAGTTAAACCTGGATCCAGCAAATCACTGAAACCCCAAGTTGCATTCTGAAAGACTGATGCATCTGTAGGTTTTGAGAGATCCTATAGCTACTGCACACAGATCTTAAGATATCAATAAAGATGTGGCAAAATGAAGAATTTGGGGGTGAGGACATTCTCAACTGCTGTAGTTAGTGGGTCCTTCTTCTCACATGTCCTAAAATGAATATGAATTTGTGGCATTACAGAGGGAAACTAAAGCATTGTGAAGGAGGGAACACAGATACTGTAAGAATCATGACTTACCTGCACAATTCTCTGCATATACTAAAAAGCACTGAATTGTAGACTCTTAAAAGTTGAATTCTAGGGTATGAAAATTATATCTCAATAAAAGTATGTTCTTTTTTAAAATTCATGGGTTATCTACTGGGTATTGCTTTGAACAGAGCAGCATTTCTGAATTTAAAGGCCTACTATTGGCTCCCAATTCATTTTTATAAAACATGACAAAGTATCTTATGTAGAAAACATTGTGCCAGATGCTATGAAATATTTAGAAAAAATGAGCTTTCAAGAATTACATAGTTTACTAAGCATTTATTTACATGCCAGGTAGGTACTAATAAATTATAACTATTATCTCTATAACTGAGCTGTTATCACTTCCATTCTATGTTGGGAAAGTGATGCTGGGAGGATTAGATAATTGTCCAAGGAACAGAGTTAATAAAATGCAGAGCTGAAATTTTAACTCAAACCTTTCTGTCTATTAAGTCTATGATTTCATCAATTACACAAAACAAGTAAGAAGAGAAAGAAAGACCTGAATGCAAAAAATACAAAAAAATGAATGAATGAGTTCTGAGAGTAAGCAAACTATGGAGAGAGTTTCAAAGTTCTAATCTAGATGCTGGAGTTACAGTGCACGAATGGCTTTAAAACTTTCAGTATAGAGTTTGAGGTCTGAAAGTCTTCCTAGCACATCTTAAAAAAACTAATACAATTCCAAGAGATGCATATAACTGATACATAATATTTAAGGGGAACATATCTTTCTGTGTGATTGCTTGATCTAGGAATCCTTGGCTATGGGAGCAATGAATGCATATATCAGGGGCATATCCATTTTGTGAACAAAATTTCGTTCTGAGTGTTTACCAAATTCTAGGCATTATCTAGCTGGTTGGGTTAATAAGATATGATAACTCTCCCAAGGGTAGCACCCATACTGGACTTGATTGACACCAGATATGTGCAATATATGAGGTTAATTGTCAGACTTTAGCATTGGCCAGTAAGAGTTTCTATTTTAGGTCTTTTATTGATTAACTGTAAATTTGGACAACTTTTTGTATTTGTCTATGCTTGATTTACTTACCTATTAGAATGACAATAATAGTCATCTTACAGGATTATTGTGAGAAACTGACACATAAAATCACCATGTCTCGAAGACCAGTAAGCACTTAATGATGGCTACTATCATCAACTGAAAAGGCTGTCCCTTTATGTCTAGTACCTGTAGTTTTCTGATTATTTTTGTGACCCTCAAGTATATTTCATATATTTCATATAAGTGACATTTCCCAAGGATCCATGCCCAAAGATGCCAGACTACCAATAAATAGTGAATGCTGTAAGAAAGTCCACTCTAAATTCACTCTGAGCACTTCTGAAAACATGACCTTTACAGATGTTTTTACAGCCTAGAAAAGAGTCTTCACATGGCCAGAGAATGCTTCTTCTTTTCCTGTTTGACAACACCCCTGACAATATGCTTCATATTATTTGTACTTGGATGGACCTTCCACTTCTAAAAATGGTGCCTAATTTTTACATAACAGCTACATGTAATACATATACAGGGGTAAGCGAATATAATGACTAAGAGCAGTGTTACTGAAATAATGTAGATATAGGTTCAAATCTTGATTCCTCTACCTACTAGCTATAACCTTAGACACTCTTATGTTTTATAAACCTGTCTTGTCATCTACAAAATGAGATTTTAAAAAAACTCATAAAAATATTGTTAAAATTAAATGAGATGATATATGAAAGGTTTTCAGCACTGTGTAATACATAGTATATTCTCAATAGATGGCAGTTATCACCAAAAATGACATGAATTTGGTGAGTTTACTGGCTCAGGTTCATTTTCAATTAAATATGCACTTATTGTCCACCTGCCAAGTACCTCACATTCTACTCCTTCTTGTAGGTACTAGATAAAGGAAATGAATTACACAAGTCATCTAAAACAGAACATCTGTGTTTCACATGTGTATGACCCTAAGAAGGAGAGTCCTGCAACATGTCCTCATGTTGGAAGGTGGGGCTGGTACCAGTAAGATGAGAATGTAAAGAAGGAGGAAGGTAAACATGTAGAGAGGTGGAGTTAGGTTTGATTGGAAATGAATCAGCCCATCCTACAGAGGGCAGCACCTGTATTATAAACTATATAAGGGCCACTATCCCATCCATCTTCACCCTGCAAGCTACATCAGGCTTTATCCTACGTGTTCCTTTGGCAAACCAGGTGAGACAAAATTCATCCAGCTACTTCTACAGATATTTGGTACTGTGTATGATAGAAGTCAAGGAATATAAAGCTAAAGTAAACATCATATATATTTTGCCTTTTTCTTTTTTTGTTTCTTAACTTTTTGTTCTCTCTCTCTCTCTTTTTTTTTTTTTTTTAGTTCAGTTTATTCTGGGATCTTTTTGGAATAAGCTTATGTTTATAGTAGAAGTTTGCCTTCCTGCTAGGCCATTTCATACTCTCTTCCTAGTCTTTTATTTTTTTTTTAAGATTGATTTATTTATTTGAAAGGCAGAGTAAGAGTGAGAGTCAGAGTCGGCGGTGGAGGGGGGGGATTAGAACAGAGAGAGCATGCTGTTACATCTGCTAGTTCACTTCCCAAATGGCCCCAATGGCCAGGGGAAGGCTGAAATCAGGAACCTGGAATTCCATCCAGGGCTCCCACATGGGTAACAGCCATCCAAGCATTCAGCCATCTTCTGCTGCTTTCACAGGGGTGTTAGTGTGGAACTGGATCAGAAGTGGAGCAGCCAGGTCTTAAACAAGTGCTCCTATGGGATGCCAGTGTCACAGATAGCAGTTTAACCCACTGTGCCATAGCATGGTCCCACTTCCCAGTCTTCTTGCATGCTATCTTTTCTGGGCTGTCCAGCTCAAGTAGAGAAGCAGCTGGCCCTGTTGCAGAGCCTATTCTTTGTTTGTTGTTGGTTCCCAGAGCTCCAAGGTCTAATTATCCACTAGTCAAACTGCTGCCTACAGTGCTGAGCTTGTCTCCCTAACTTAACAAAGTAGACCAGTGTGTGCTCAACTGCTGAGGTTAAGACAATTGCTGAGCTCTGAGAAGGGCTATCTCTTGCCTCTGATGTACCAAGATATTGGCTCATTTTTCCTTCCATTTTTTATTTGATGACAGTTCTAAGGTCCAATTTAGCTTCTTGTACCCACAGAGAAAGTAGATGTACATGACAGATCATCTACCATTTTTTTTTTACTCAAGAAAAGCACTGAACTCCGGGTAGTTCTGGAAATTTTAGGAGTCCCAGGACAATACTCAAGACACTAAAGTACCCAAAATTTAGAAACAGTATGTAGAGACTATACTTACCCAGGATAAAAAAATACAGAAATCTGACACCAAGTCCCATTTGAGCCAATATATGCCATCATTTGATTTTAGCAAAGTAATTTAAAAAAAAAAAACTTCATTATTTACTCAACTTTGCTTGTTGATATTTTAAAAAGAGGTTTAAAAAACATAATATTAAAATAAAAGCTATTGATAAGTAAAAGAAAAGAAATAGCAATCTTGGTTTTTTCTCCAGGTTCACTTAATCTTGCAAAAAGATGACAGATCTCTTGAGAAGTGTTGTCACCGTCATTGATATTTTCTACAAATACACCAAGGAAGATGGAGAGTGTGGCACACTAAGCAAGAATGAGCTAAAGGAACTTCTGGAGAAAGAATTTCGACCAATTCTGAAGGTGAGGACTGTGTGCCAGGACTAAAGGCTGCTGGGGACCTGTCACAGGACTAAGATTAGATAAAAAGTGCACCATCCCAGTGATTTTTGAGAAAAATATGTAGGGGACATCTGAAATATTAAGACAGCACATATTTTTAAGAGGTTGAATGTTTCTTCCTCACTTTCTTATACATTCCCATCTTAAAGACCCTCAGGCTCTCTCATGAACGCAAACTTTGTTTTCTGGAAAAAAAACAAAATAATTATGTTGTATGACATGAATTAATAAATCATCCTATCAAATAGAGGGAAAAGAATAAATAGGGACATCATGTATAAGGGGAATTAGCAAAGAAGCCAAAATGATTAAAAACTGAAAACAAAATTCATCCATTTTTCCATCTACTTAGGAAGAACTCAGATATTAGGTTCTGAAAAGAGATTCTAATATAGAATATGTTAACATATCATGTTTACAACTCATATATAACTAAGATACACCAGTTATTAATTGTAGTATATTCACTCCTTCCCATAAACTAAGCACTTAAACCTCTAGCTTAGATCCTTAAATTGTCTTCATCCAAGAGTCTCCATTTTTTAAACCCCTTCCAATTTGCTGGGTTCTATTAACCTAAAATAATCCTCACCTAGACTAAAACTACTTGATGTCAAGCATCCATAAATCTCTAACCCTACTTAAATATTTTCTTTGAATATGTGGGCCAGATTGACCAGTCCTCCCTTGGTATATCATTCATGCAGAACCCAGATGATCCAGACACAGTGGATGTCATCATGCACATGCTGGATCAAGATCACAACCGAAGACTGGACTTCACTGAGTTTCTTCTCATGGTATTCAAGCTGGCTATGGCTTGCAACAAGGTTCTCAGTAAACAATACTGCAAAGCTTCAGGGTCAAAGAAGCATAGGCATGGTCACCAATGCCAAGAGGAAGAAAATGAAACAGAAGAGGAAGAGGAGGAGACACCAGAACAGAAATCAGGTTACAGACATCCAAGTTGGAGTGAGAGAGAGGAACACGGACATAGTTCTGGGGGTTCGAGGGGAACTGTGAAACACAGACATGGGTCCAACTCCTGGAGGTTGAGAAGGCAGGACGATTTATGCAGTTCAAGGAACCTAAAGGGATCTGAGAAAAGGCGCCATGGGTCTAGCTCTGGTTATTCATGGAGTAGCAGTGAAGAAAGACATGGTTCCAGCTCTGGGGAAATGGGAGAAAGAAGAAACAAGTCATACGTTAGCACCTCTAGGGAATCTGGGAAGGAATATGAATCTGGATATGGGTCAAAGAGTCAGGGGAAGAAAGGTCATGGTGGTCTGTCACATGGATTGGAGACAAGTGAGCATGAATCAAACTCTTCTCAGCTAAAAAAGAGCAGAGAAGAAAAACTTGGGTCTATCTCAGGAGGTTCAGGAGACTGTAAGAGGCAAAGTCATGCATGTGGCTCCAGCAATTCAGGTGGGTGTGGAAGGTCACAAAATGCTTCTACTTCTTATCATGCAAGTAGATCTGGAGGGCAACAGTCATGCTGTCAATCAGGAAGTAGTGGAGGACAAGGTCATAGATGTGTCTCAGGAGGGCAGTCATCTGGATATTGCCATCCTGAATCTAGCTCTTGTAGCCAGTCTTCTAGCCAGAGAGGATGTGGATCTAGAAAATGTGGTCAATCACAGAACTGTGGCACACAACAGAGAAGAGGCTCAAGTCAGCCCTCTTGCTGTAGACAACATGGGTTTGGAGCCAGTCAGTCTTCCAGTTCTAGTCAATATGGATCTGGTTCACGTGGCTATACTTCAAACTGTCATCAAAGAGGGTCTGGATCAAGTGAATATTCCAATTGTAGTCAACATGAGTTCAGTTCAGGTCAGACCTGTAGCCATGAAAAACATGGAAGAGGCCAACATGGATCTGGTTCAGGTCAGTCTTGCTGTAGCCAACATAGCTCAGGTTCAAGTCAATCCTCTGCCTGTGGCAGGCACAGGTCTGGCTCAGGTCAGTCCTCAGGCTTTGGAGAGCACGGGTCTGGATCAGGGCAGTCCTCTGGCTTTGGCCAGCACAGGTCTGGGTCAGCTCAGTCCTCTGGCTTTGGCCAGCATGGCTCTGGCCCAGGTCAGTCCTCAGGCTTCGGCCAGCACGGGTCTGGCTCAGGTCAGTCCTCTGGCTTCGGCCAGCATGGGTCTGGCTCAGGTCAGTCCTCTGGCTCAGGCCAGCATGGGTCTGGCCCAGGTCAGTCCTCTGGCTTTGGACAGCACGGGTCTGGATCAGGTCAGTCCTCTGGCTCAGGGCAGCACGGGTCTGGCCCAGGTCAGTCCTCTGGCTTTGGACAGCACGAGTCTGGCCCAGGTCAGTCCTCTGGCTCAGGCCAGCACGGGTCTGGGTCAGGTCAGTCCTCAGGCTTTGGACAGCACGGGTCTGCGTCAGGTCAGTCCTCTGGATTTGGCCACCATGGGTCTGGGTCAGGTCAGTCTTCTGGCTTTGGCCAGCATGGGTCTGGCTCAGGTCAGTACTCTAGCTCAGGCCAGCATGGGTCTGGCCCAGGTCAGTCCTCTGGCTTTGGACAGCACGGGTCTGGCTCAGGGCAGTCCTCTGGCTTTGGCCAGCATGGGTCTCGGTCAGGGCAGTCTTCTGGCTTTGGCCAGCATGGGTCTGGCTCAGGTCAGTACTCTAGCTCAGGCCAGCATGGGTCTGGCTCAGGTCAATCCTCAGGCTTTGGACAGCACGGGTTTGGGTCAGGTCAGTCCTCTGGCTTTGGCCAGCACGGGTCTGGGTCAGGTCAGTACTCTGGCTCAGGCCAGCACGGGTCTGGCCCAGGGCAGTCCTCTGGCTTTGGACAGCACGGGTCTGGCTCAGGGCAGTCCTCTGGCTTTGGCCAGCATGGGTCTCAGTCAGGGCAGTCTTCTGGCTTTGGCCAGCATGGGTCTGGCTCAGGTCAGTCTTCTGGCTCAGGCCAGCACGGGTCTGGCCCAGGTCAGTCCTCTGGCTTTGGACAGCAAGGGTCTGGATCAGGTCAGTTATCTGGCTCAGGCCAGCACAGGTCTGGCCCAGGTCAGTCCTCTGGCTTTGGACAGCACAGGTCTGGGTCAGGTCAGCCTTCTGGCTTTGGCCAGCACGGGTCTGGCTCAGGTCAGTACTCTGGCTCAGGCCACCATGGGTCTCGGTCAGGTCAGTCCTCGGGCTTTGGCCAGCATGGGTCTGGCTCAGGTCAGTCCTCTGGCTTTGGACAGCACGGGTCTGGATCAGGTCAATCCTCTGGCTCAGGCCAGCACGGGTCTGGCCCAGGTCAGTCCTCTGGCTTTGGACAGCACAGGTCTCGGTCAGGTCAGTCTTCTGGCTTTGGCCAGCATGGGTCTGGCTCAGGTCAGTACTCTAGCTCAGGCCAGCATGGGTCTGGCTCAGGTCAATCCACAGGCTTTGGACAGCATGGGTTTGGGTCAGGTCAGTCCTCTGGCTTTGGCCAGCACGGGTCTGGGTCAGGTCAGTACTCTGGCTCAGGCCAGCACGGGTCTGGCCCAGGTCAGTCCTCAGGCTTTGGACAGCATGGGTCTGGCTCAGGTCAGTCCTCTGGCTTTGGCCAGCACGGGTCTGGGTCAGGTCAGTCCTCAGGCTTTGGCCAGCACGGGTCTGGGTCAGGTCAGTACTCTGGCTCAGGCCAGCACGGGTCTGGCTCAGGTCAGTCCTCTGGCTTTGGACAGCATGGATCTGGCTCAGGTCAGTCCTCTGGCTTTGGACAGCACAGGTCTGGGTCAGGTCAGTCCTCAGGCTTTGGACAGCACGGGTCTGGCTCAGGGCAGTCCTCTGGCTTTGGCCAGCATGGGTCTGGCTCAGGTCAGTCCTCAGGCTTTGGACAGTATGAGTCTGAGTCAGGTCAGTCCTCTGGCTTCGGCCAGCATGGGTCTGGATATGGTCAGTCCTCTGGCTTCGGTCAGCACGAGTCTGGATATGGTCAGTCCTCTGGCTTCGGTCAGCACGAGTCTGGGTCAGAGCAGTCCTCTGGCTTCGGCCAGCATGAGTCTGAGTCAGGTCAGTCCTCTGGCTTTGGACAGCACGAGTCTGAGTCAGGTCAGTCCTATGGCTTTGGCCAGCATGGGTCTGGGTCAGGTCAGTACTCTGGCTCAGGCCAGCATGGGACTGGGTCAGGGCAGTCCTCAGGCTTTGGACAGCACGGGTCTGGCTCAGGGCAGTCCTCTGGCTTTGGCCAGCATGGGTCTGGGTCAGGTCAGTCCTCAGGCTTTGGACAGTATGAGTCTGAGTCAGGTCAGTCCTCTGGCTTCGGCCAGCATGGGTCTGGATATGGTCAGTCCTCTGGCTTCGGTCAGCACGAGTCTGGATATGGTCAGTCCTCTGGCTTCGGTCAGCATGAGTCCGGCTCAGAGCAGTCCTCTGGCTTCGGCCAGCATGAGTCTGAGTCAGGTCAGTCCTCTGGCTTTGGACAGCACGAGTCTGAGTCAGGTCAGTCCTATGGCTTTGGCCAGCATGGGTCTGGGTCAGGTCAGTACTCTGGCTCAGGCCAGCATGGGACTGGGTCAGGGCAGTCCTCAGGCTTTGGACAGCACGGGTCTGGCTCAGGGCAGTCCTCTGGCTTTGGCCAGCAT